GCTTGGAAATACTTAACTTCCTTTATGTGTTTAAATTGTAATATTTAGTGTTTACAGTTGACACTTGAACAACATGGGTTTGAATTTGAATTGCATGGGTCCACTTATATGTGGGGTTTTGTTTTGTTTTGTTTTGTTTTAATGAATACCTGTCCCGTTTCAACCTACAGATGCAGAGTCAGTGGTATACCTTGATCTGCACCATTTTAATTTTATTTATTTTTTATCCTCACCCAAGGACATTTTTCTATTTCTTGTTCAGATAAAGTAAGAGGGAGAGAGAGGAAGAGAGAAAGAGAAAAACATCGACATGAAAGGAATACATCTAGTGGCTGCCACCCACACAACCCAACCAGGGCCGGGGATAAACTGCGACCAAGGTACATGCCCCTAGCGGGAACCAAACCTGGGTCTCTCTGGACCGCAGGCTGATGCTCTAACCGCTGAGCCAAACTGGCCAGGGCTGTACCATTTTATATAAGGACTTGAGCAGTTATGAATTTTATCTGTGGGTGGGAGCAGGGTTCCTAGAACCAATCCCCCATGGATACCAGGGAAAACTAAGTTTGGAGGAAGTCAAAAGTCCTATGTGGATTTTTCACTGCAACGGGTTGCTGTCTCAAATCCCTGTATTGTTTAAGAGTTAACTGTATTTAGCATTTACTGTGTGCTGGGCACTCTTACCGTGCTCCGTTCATGTAACTGTCATAGCAGCCCTATTAGATAATTAAGACTTCAGTTGACAGAAGAGGAAACTGAAGTTAAAAGGGGCAGAGTATGCAGACTCTGACCCAAGTGCATCACATAACAAAGTCTGTGTGCTTAAGGACGGGCTGTCCTTTCCTAATCAGTGTTTGAATAATGAGGTGTCACACACTCAAAAGTTGAGGTACAGAGAGTATGTCAGAGGTTGGTTAGTGGTCAGCTACCCTACTTTACTGGGAAGCTGCCCACTCTGCTCCCACCACCTCACTTAGTAATCCTTCTCTGTTCAGTCACGTCTCCCTACCATCCTCCTTGTTTCCTGTCACCCTGCATTAGCTGCAGTAGTTAGCTCCCCCCTTCCCTCCACTCTCAATAATAAGTGAAAGTTGTGAGTTGGCCGTGCAGATACAGGATCATGAAAAGTCTGCTTTGCCCCGCACGTCACACATGGAGATTTCGATGTGCTACATCTAATACGCAGATGCATGTGGGGAGTTAGAAAGTCCTTGGACCCCCTGGAACTAGGGTCAGCGCTGGCTCCTGGCTGACTATGGGCCTGTGGGACAGAAAGTAGCTTTTCTCCTTTTCCAGATATCCATTAGCTCCTGACTTGTCTTAGTCAAGGAGGAAGACATGTTGATGGTGTCTTTCTGCCACCTTCCTCCCATGTAGAATGGAGCCCCATGTAAGGCCCACCTTACCCCACTTTTCATTCCCCAGTTACCAGGGAATGCCCTAAGATTGCACCAGGAAGGTTTTGGTCCCATTCTCCCACCAGTGCACACACGGGATTTCTGGTGAGCCAAAGGAGCACTGGGTAAAGGGAGTTGAGACTTGCGGCTTCCATCTGGGCTCTTCCTGGGGAAGCCCCTTCCCTTTGAGGGCCTCATTTCCCTCTCTGCAAACAGAGGACATTAGAACCATGGTCCTTTTTGCTACTCTGCTCTAACATTTTACAACTGTTTCTGAGGCAGGTGCAGGGTGGTGACTTTAGTGTTTCCTGAGCACTGGGTCCCAGGCAGCTAGTGCCAGTTTTAGAATTCAGAGATGGGAGGGAGGGAGCTGCTGCTTGTGCAAAGAATTGATTTTCACTTGAAGCCCTTTCAGATTCCAGGGCCTATATACACACTGTGTGTGTGTGTGTGTGTGTGCGCGTGCGCCTGCCTGGTAAAGGTAGGTGGGTGGCTTGGAGGGGACTCTGAAAAGGATATGTATTGAAATTAGTAAGCCTAGAGTTCTTTCCGTCTTCCCACAGAGCCTGACAGCAGCTCATCTGAGCCTTTCTGGGTTTCCCTAGACTCCAAAGGGTTTGAATAGATCCAGGAACAGTGTTTAAAGGCAGAAGTAGTTCTCTTTCCCTGGTGGACTTTTCTGTCTCTTGGGGGACTTTTTTCTTCCTTTGGGCAGGGGCATCTTGAGGCCTTAGTTGGGAGCAGAACAAGAGCAGGCCACTGTGGGTCCTTGGGACAGATGGACATTAGCTAGGGATGGGGCTTTTTTAGCAAACTTCACACAGGACTAGTTGAAGAATATTCCGTGTATGCCCACACTAGCCACATTCCCCTGGTCAGCTTGGGATTGGGAGGGAGTAGGGAATCAGTGGAGTCTTCTGGTGGCAGGAGGGCTCTCCCCTTAACTGGAGACTGAACTTTCAGTACTTTACCATGTTCCCTTTGTGATATATTTTTTCTTCTTGATTGATTTTTTAGAGAGAGGCAGGGAGCGGGAGAGGGATGGAAACATCGATGAGGGAGAGCATCAATTGGCTGCCTCCTGCACGCCCCCCACTGTGGATTTGGCCCACAGCCTGGGCATGTTTCCTGACCGGGAACTGAACTGGCGACCTCGTAGTACATGGGTCGACGCTCAACCACTGAGCCATACTGGCTGGGCCCTTGTGATCTTGGTGAACAAAATATCAGGCAGGGTGATCGTAGGATCTGGCTTTTCCCAATTTTGAAAGAGTTTTTATTAGAAGAAACAGACAATGACCTGAAAAACTTGCCTTGTGTTTTCTAAGAAAGTCCTCAGGAATAAATCACCCACCGAACCTGATTCCCTTTTCCAACTTGTTAATGAACTTGATGTTGCTGGCCCTCACCTGTGTTCCTCTTGGTAGCATACAGGGAGTGTTGGGGCCTGAAACATGGGTCCAGGAGGAGTGATTACTGCCATAGCTTAGGGGTAATCGAGGAAGCTGATCCTATAATGAAATGGCTGCCTCTGCCAGGGTCCTGGTTCAAAGCAGCCTAGCCAGGGCACTGGATGGTTTTAGCTTCTCTGAATCAACCCAGGATTAACAGTAAAATCAGTGTGGAATAAGTAGCTCTCTGGGTCTAAGGTTTCATCCTATAGGAACTGATATTTCTGGTTCTCCACTGCCCAGCACCAGGAATGGGGGATGCTGTGTGCCTGGGTTCCACTGTTTTATGTCTCAGAGGCATGTGGAGTGTCTTGAGGGGCCAGTGGCCCCAGTATGAAGTGGAAGCCAAGAATGCAGTGACTTCACAGTAGAGGCAGGCAAGGACTCTACTCATTAAGGGAACATGGATCTGATCAAGGAGTAGAACATTCTTGTTGAGATCAGCCTTGCAAATTTCTCTGTTCAGAGATTGGAGGCAAATCTTGCCCTGGCATGGCTGATCAACATTGGAGACAAAGTGATGGGAGAGAAGTGGGTGGCCAGAGTCCCATGGCTTTCTGGGGGAGGAAGGGTTTAGAAACCCTTTAGAACCTTGTTGAGAAAACAACTATATATGTAAAAGTGACTAGACCTATTAGAGCCACTTCCTTAACACACACACACACTTTGTTCTTTTAAAAAAAATTTTTTTCAATCTTCACCTGGGGATATTATTTTTTCCATTGAGTTTTAGAGAGTGAGTAGAAGGGAGGGAGGGGGAGAGAGAGACATTGATGTGAGAGAGACACATTGATTGATTGCCTACTGCACATGCCCCGACTGGGCCAGGCATCTAACCTGCAGCCTAGGTACTTGCCCTTGACCAGGAATCAAACCTACAACCCTTTGGTACGTGGGCCGATACACTAACCACAGAGCAAAACTGCCAGGGTAGGGTTATTTTCTTTTTACAAGCTCATGTATGTCTTTTTTGAAACTTAGAGAATTCCAAACAGACTTAAATCACTATAAGCATACTACTAATCTCCATAACTGCTTAGTTATATATCATTCTAGAGTTTATACTATGTGTGCATATACACATTTTTTGTTTTACCAAAATAAGACTGTAACTTTTCTCATCTATTATTTATCTCTTTGTATCAGTAGAAATCATTGTCTTTTTAATGACTATAAAAATTATTAAACATTAGTTGAGCCAGTTCCCTACTGTTGGACATGTAGGTTGTTTTCAGCGTTTTGAAGTTATAAACTGTACTTTGGTGGACATCTTTGTGCATAACTCTGAATACTTGACTAATTTGTATCATTAGATAAATTCTTAAAGGTAGAATCATTGAGTCAAATGGGGTCTCACTTTTTCTTTGGAAACTTGGAAGGCAGACAGAATTTTTCCTGAGTGGCTAACACTCTCGTTGACCGCAGGTCGAGGACCAAGCTGGCCCTGGTGTGTTAGGGTTTAGAAGAGGTCCCTGGACTTCTTGATTGCCCAGTTAGGGTTTTTATTTTGTCTTCCTTGTGATCACTAGCTCAGGTCTGCTCACACAGATTTCTAGAATGTTAGAACCAGACAGGTTCTTTTTCAGTGGTTCTCAACCTTCCTAATGCCACGACCCTTTAGTACAGTTCATGTTGTGGTAACTCCCAACCATAAAATTATTTTCATTACTACTTCATAACAGTAATTTTGCTACTGTTATGTCTTAGGCGACCCCCTGTGAAACGGTCATTCGACCTCCAAAGGGGTCATGACCCACAGGTTGAGAACCGCTACTTTAGATCCTTCCTTTATGGAATTTAAGAGATGGCTCTGGCATGGACTCAGTCTGCTATGGACTTAATCCCCTCCAGGCCTTAGAGCCTTTTTTACAAGAGGGTATGGAGCTGTGAGAGCCCTCCCACCTCAGAGTCAAGTTCCTGGGGTTTTGCTGCTGGTTGTTTCCATGAGCTCACTTTCCATGATTTCTTCAGAAAGGCTGGTAAAATTGTTATTGGCGTTTGAGCATTTGTCCTTTAACTCTTTATCATGTCTTACTCCTTTGGGAACCTACAGGTTGCATGATGGAGTGGGAGTGGTGATGAGGGTGAGGAGCTGCTGGTGGCCCTCTCCCATAGGCTTTGCATAACCATCTCTCCCTTCTTGTTTCCACAGAACATTCTGCTCCGGCAAAGGTGGTGAGGGCAGCAGTTCCTAAACAGCGCAAAGGCAGCAAGGTAAGGAATGGGAGTAGGCAACCCAAGGGGACTGCCTGGAGGTAGTGACCTCTTTCTTATTCTAGTTGAGTGCTTCTGAGCTGCCAGGTAGTCCTATATCATCTCTGAATAGCAGAGGAGCCCCCTTCTGGGCCTCCAGTGTTGATGGGTCTTGTGGGAAGAGTGATTTTGCCCTCTGATCGCTTGATGGAGCTGCGTTTTGGGTAGGGGGATGAATGGCAGAGGAGGGTCACCCCAGAGCGTTTATAGAATGTGCCTTGCAGGTTGGTGACTTTGGAGATGCAATCAACTGGCCCACACCTGGAGAGATAGCTCACAAGAGTGTGCAGGTGAGTCTGAGGAGAAGGATGCATAAGATGAACTCTGGCTACACGTCACATTTGGCTTTTCAAGCTTTCAAAGCTTCAGGTCTTACCTTAAGAGGAATTGGTTGGTATAATTTGGGCAGCACTGAAATAGCTAAGAGTCATCATTTGAGCCCTGTCTGTGTATCAGGGACTGCCAAGTGCTGTATATTCATCATTTCATCTAACCTTCACAGTGACTCTAAGGTAGGTGCTTTAATAATTCCCATTTTATGGATGAGGCCACTAAGGCTGGGAAAGGTTAATTACTAGCCCTTGATGGCCAAGTGGGGATTGGAAGTCAGGTGTGTTGCATTATTCCAGAACCTGTGTTCTCCTTCACTACACTTGGATTGCCAGAGAGTGGTCTTTGGCCAGGTACCTGCCTCTAGATAACATGTCTTGGGGAAGCTTTATAGCTTTTCTTAGTCCCAGCAGAAGAGGGGCTCCTGGTCAGTCCTCTTCTTCCCTGTGCTTTTGTTCTAGGCTGACGGTTTAGGTCCCTCTCTGGCTGTGGCCACTGACCTTCAGTTTGCAGACAGGGTTGGTGTGGACAGGCCAAGGGCCAGCATGTCCTCCATCTCACAGACTACCTGGATGTGGTCCTGGTACAGGGAGTAAATAAACGTTTGGCTTCTGTGAGCCCCAGTCCCTCTGTCTTGTAGATTTCCTCTCTGGCTTAGACTTGAAGAAGCCAGAGAGACAGGTTGTCTTCCACCTCCTGCCTGTTTGACCACTCTTCCCAGTGAAAACATCTTAGGTGTGAAAACAGGACTTTTAGAATGCATCTAGCTCAACCTGCCATCGCATGCTCCAGCACTTCTGCCCTGTCTTTTAGTGACAGGCTTCCTTCCATCCATCCATCTAAAGAGACTCACAGACTCACCACATCTCCCTGTTACTTTACTTCCTGCTGTAGCCACAGCCCCACAAGTCTCAGCCTGCCCGTAAGCTGCCACCCAAAAAGGACATGAAGGAACAGGAGAAAGGAGAGGGAAACGATAGTAAGGAGAGCCCAAAAACCAAATCGGATGAATCAGGGGAGGAGAAGAATGGGGACGAAGACTGCCAGCGAGGGGGTCAGAAGAAGAAAGGTGAGTGACTTGGAGCAGGGCTTGGGAGAAGGTAGCAAGGCAGCACTGTGAAGGGGCAGAATGTAAGGGCTGCAGAGGAATTTCAGGAGCCCTGAGACGTCCTTAGAAGGCTGGCTGGTGTAGGCCTCTGGGCCAGCAGTCTTCACCTCAGCCACCGTCTGTCAGATCCTTCTCTTATTAAACAAGCATTTGGTAAGCCCTGTTCTGAGCAGTGGGGCTCTAGCAGTGCAGAAGACAGGTGAGGTCCCCGCCTCAGAGTATTCTTTGTATCTTAATATATTGTTGTCCCATGAAAGATTTCACTTAAAGACAAGAGTTCCCATTGCTTTGGCTGAAACTTAAGGTTAGGGCATAAGTTCGGCAGCTCTAATAGAGATCCAGGGTAACAATGGTTAAACAGGTCGGAAGTTTCTTTCTCTCACCTGACAGATCAGTTGTAAGTAGGGCAGGCCCAGAATGGCAACTCTTTGATTCCTTTTTATCTTACTGTGGTGTTTTGGCACTTCTCACCCAAGATGGCTCACTATTACCACCTCCTAGCAGCTAGCAGGACAAGAACAGGGGAGAGTGGCTCCCTTTTAGGGATTCAACCTGGAATTGACTACTTTCAGTGAACCCTTCATAGCCAGAACTTTGGCACGAGTCTGAAGGGAACCTGGAGAATACAGTCTTGATTCTGCACAGTCAAGTATCTGGCTCTCTGACCACGGAGAAATCAGTGTTGAGAGTTACCCACGGGTATTCATCACACTGAGGTCCATAACCTCCTTATTTTAGAGATGAAAATGAGGTCCAGCATGGGAAAGGAATTTGCCCAAGGTTACTTGATTGTGATTCAGGACTGAAGCCGTGGACAGGGGAAGAAGGTTGTGGATAAAGATAGCTGGGAGGGACCTCCTTCAAGCCCTTCTTGTGTGCCCATGCTGTTCTCCAGGGAACAAACACAAGTGGGTCCCATTGCAAATAGACATGAAGCCTGAAGTCTGCAGAGAGAAACTGGTCTCACGCCCTGCTCGCCCGCCAGAGCCACGACACACACCTGCCAACCGCGGGGAGATCAAAGGTATGCACCACCTACTATGGAGGGCCTGGGCATGGGGGTCACCCTCAGACATGAACCAGAACCCTCTTTCCTTACAGGGTCTGAGCCTGCCACCTACGTGCCTGTGCCTGTGGCCCCCCCCACCTCAGCCTGGCAACCAGAGACCAAACCGGAGCCTGCCTGGCCCGACCAGGATGAGACATCGAGTGTGAAGAGTGATGGGGCTGGTGGGGCGCGGGCTTCCTTCCGCGGCCGTGGACGGGGGCGTGGTCGTGGCCGGGGACGTGGCCGGGGTGGCACTCGAAGTACGTGAGGCCCCTTTGGGCTCCGGGATGTCCCAGGGAGTGCAGCATGGGCGGTGGGCAGTGATCACCTCTCCCTAATGGCTCCCATTTTCCCTGTAGCCCATTTTGACTACCAGTTCAGCTACCGAAAGTTTGATGGTGCAGAGGGTCCTCGAACCCCCAAGTATATGAACAATATCACCTACTACTTTGACAATGTCAGTAGCACCGAGCTTTACAGCGTGGACCAGGAGCTACTCAAAGACTACATCAAGCGCCAGATGTGAGTGGTTGGGAGCCTTCTTTTTGAAATGATGAGATGGGTAGGGGTTTGGGGGCTCCCTGAGTTTGGCAGCTGGGCAGAGTAGGACTGGACAGGTCCTTCAGTTACTGCGCTGGCTGGAGCTAAGAAAGATGACTTTCTCTCATCTTTTAAGCTACATTTTTATAAAATTGTTGATTACAGCAGTAATAACATATTTATGTTAAGAAAATTATAAATTGCCACTAACAGAATGGAGAGAAGATGTCTTAGACTGCCCGCTTCTGTGCTTCTTTTGTAATGGCTGCATTACTAGAATGCTAGCAAACACAAGTCCTCACTATTATTGGTCAGGCTCAGTGCTAAGTACTTGATAGGCATTCTCTTACTTAATCCTGCAGTTGTCAGTTTTTCTGAGCTGGTTTTATTCCCATTTTGTAGATGAGCAAACAGGCCTAATACCTTGCCCAGTGTCTTACAACTAGTAAGTGACAAGGCACATAGTTGAATCCATTTCTGTCTGATTGTAAAACCTTTGCTTCTAACCACTCTGATATATTGTGTCTTGGTCCAGGATTGTGGCACATAGAGTGTGATAAGTGTTTTAGGAGCTGAAGAGGAAGGGAGTTTGCCAGGCATGCAAAGGGGCTGAAGGGCAAAGGGAATGGTTTGACCCAAGCTTGGGGATCCATGAGAGGATAACATTTCTTTTAGTCCTTAAAACTGTTGTATGTACACTAGGGACACAGGTAAGGCAGAGGCTCTGTGAGGTCGCCGGGGTGTACAGCAGAATAGGGAAGGGCATATTTGTAAATGATGCAGCAATCATACCTATTCTCTCCTCCACCTAGTGAATACTACTTCAGCGTGGACAATTTAGAGCGAGACTTCTTCCTGCGACGGAAAATGGATGCTGACGGTTTCCTTCCCATCACTCTTATTGCTTCCTTCCACCGAGTGCAGGCCCTTACCACTGACATTTCACTCATCTTTGCGGTATGTCTCCTTCCCTGGGGCTGGGGTGCAGGGGAAAAAATAGTCCTGGCTTATGGAGCTGGAGTTTGGGCTGAGGCAGGAAACCTTGGAAGAGCCCCATTTGATTACTTCTGCTAAAGTCCCAAGGCTTGCCCAGCCTCTCTCCCTGTCTTTCCCTTGTATTATGGAAATGTTCTGACAAGTACAAAAGTAGACAGTGGTATAATGAACCCATCACCCAGCCCCAGCAATTTCAACTCATAGCCAGTCTTATTCCATCAACCCCTTAATTTGTTTCCTCTCCCAGATTACTCTGAAGAAAGGTATCAGGTAACCTGAGATTTCAGTCATGTTTCAGTACCTGTCTCTAAAATTAGAAAGACTTGTTTAAAAGTATATAATCACAGTATCATTATCCTATGTAAAAGTATTAATAATTCCTGAAGATCACCAAACATTTGGTCAGTTGCAGATTCGTTCTACTTGTCAAAAAAAATTTCTTTTAGTAGTTTATGAGGCCCATATGTTCTCTTAAGTCTCCCCTCCCCCCGTTTTTTCTTTTAATTATTTGCATAAATCGGGTATATCTTTGTGTATCTTGTAGACTGTCTTGTAGGACACAGTGGTGTCATTTAACATGTTCTATACTCCAGATTTTTAATAAATTGATCTAGAGGCCTGACTAGATTTGGTTTGGGTCTTTTTCCATCTCCTTGTCAAGAGTACTTTAGAGATAATTTGATTCTTCCTTATGTGATAGAAGCTTTGGTTGATGATCATTGCCTGTTATTTCATTGTGAATTGTAAAATGGTAATATTCTAATTCTGTCGTCCATCTTCATTTGTTAGCTGAAGTACCTCTTTAAAAAGGAGGATCTCTACTTCAACTATTTAGTTACAAAAAGGTATATAGTTTGTGTAGAACAATAGATAAATCTTGATCTTTCCCTTTATTAGCCAGTTTTCAGAATTATGAGTTGATCCCTAATAACCTTCAGAGGTGACCAGTGAGGTTTGGGCTTGTTTTTTTGTTTTATTATAGATTCAAACATATTTCGTTTATTTCAATCCATTGCGGTTGATATGCTCAATCAAATTGTTCCATATTTGGTTGGTGGGGCCCTACTTCACCTTCTACATTTCCTGCTCAAGATCTGGAATTGGACATTCTTTTTTTTTTATCCTCACCCGGACATTTTTTTGCATTCATCTTCAGATAGAGCAGGAGGGAGAGAGGGAGGAAGAGAGAGAGAGAAACATTGATGTGAGAGAGACATCAACTGGTTGCCACCCACACAACCCCAGCTGGGGCCGGGGCTGAACTGCAACCGAGGTACGTGCCCTTAGCCGAAACTGAACCCGGGTCCCTCCGGTCCGCAGGCCGACGCTCTAACCAATGAGCCAAACAAGCCAGGGCTGGAATTGGCCATTCTTTTTTTTTTTTTATCCTCACCCGAGGACATTCTTCCCTTTTTTGTTCAGACAGAGCGGGAGGGAGAGAGAGGAAGAGGGAGAGGGAGAAACATCGATGTGAAGGGACACATCGAGTGGCTGCCACCCGCACGACCAACCAGGGCCGGGGACAAACTGCAACCGAGGTACGTGCCCTTAGCGGGAACCGAACCCGGGTCTCTCTGCACCGCAGGCCGACGCTCCAACCGCTGAGCCAAACCGGCCAGGGCGGGAATTGGCCATTCTTTCAAGGAATTCTAGATCTTCTGTTTTGGGGGAATAGTATTTATGATATGTAGGTAACACATATTTGAGTTACAGGGGTGTTTATTGCTACTTGATTGCCCATTGTCATTAGAGTCTTTTTTTTAATACACTATGAGATTATACTCATTTTCTTTTTTTTTATCCTCCCCTGAGGATATTTTTTCATTTTTTGTTCAGATAGAGTGGGAGGGAGAGAGAGAAACATCAACGTGAAAGGGACACATCAGATTATATTCATATTTTTTATTAAAATTCAGGACTACAGGGTCTTTACTTAACCCTAAGGATCTTTTACTTATTCCATTGCCAAAATCCTAATGGCATCAGCATAATTATTAATTTTACCTCGCAGTTTATACATATTATTCTTATCTCTACAACTACTACTAAAAACAGGTTTTTTGTATTTTTTTCCCTGTACTTATAGAGGAAAATGACTATATTTTTCAACTTATTTGAAATAATCTTAGGGTGGTTATGTCTTCAACTTGATATATGTTAGTTTCCTTTTGTTCTGAAGTTTTAGAGATTGCTTCTTTCCTCTATCCCCAATTTTTAATTTATTTTACATTCATGTAAAACTTTTGCATGATTCCAAGTTGACATAGTATATTCAAAGACATCTGACTTAAAATACACTCTTCCCCTGCAAGTTACCTTTTTTTTGAATCCTTCTATTAAAAAAAATAAGCACATGCCTCTATGTGTATTTGTCTCCCTCCTCTTTCTTAGATGAATAGTAGCATGTATTTCTATGCCTGTGTTATGTTTCACTTAGTATATCTGGGAGCATAGTAGTATAGTATAGAATAGAAAGGTACTCCTCTGTCCTTTTCACAGTTGGATATATATCTTTTCATACTTTGCCTGTATGTCTTTGGTATAAATTTCTGGAAGGATGGCTGAACTAAAGGGCAAATGCATATGTAATTTTGCTAGCTATTGCCTAATACTCTTTCCAGAGGTTGGGCCTTTTGCATTCTCACCAGCAGTATGAGCGAGTGCCTCTTTCTCCAGCCTCACCAACAGAGGATGTTGTGACATGTTGAAATGTTTTCCTCATTTATTTAAAAGATTTTTAAAGAAAACTTTCTTTTCCTCTCTACTTTTTACCTCTTTCCCTAGAGACAAACACCTCTAACAGTTTACCCAAGAATCTAGAGATAATTGTATTTATATGTTTTTACTTAAACACCAGTGGTATCTTTTACTCTCTGACCTAGACCTATTTTTTTCTGGCTCTTTTCACCTCAGCACATGTGAAGCTGTTTTCATTGTCTGCATAGTGTTCCCTTGAGTGGATGTGCCATAGTTTATTTAAATTGCCTGTGTAGTGATAAGTTAGGAAGTTTCCACATTTTTCCTGTTACGCTTAGTGTTGCTATGAAGGGCCTTTTATGTGTCTCTTACACATATTGTCACCTGCGTGAGCAAGTATTTATCTGGGGCAGATTACTGGATGTAGAATGGCAGGGTCAGAGGACAGGTGTGTTTTTCATGTTCATGCCTCCTACAAATTTGAATGTCTCATTTGTCCACCAATCCTGGAAGGTGGTGCCAGTGTTCTAATAATCCTGCCAGCACTGGACTCATCCCTGAGCTCATGGAGGCCCAGTCATCTGTCTACTGGCTTCTAAATCTCAATCTATTCAAGTCTTTCCTCTGCATCCTCTCCATTTTTCTCCCCTGCAGGCCCTAAAGGACAGCAAGGTGGTAGAGATTGTTGATGAGAAAGTCCGTAGGAGGGAAGAGCCAGAGAAGTGGCCTCTTCCTGGTCCCCCAATAGTGGATTATTCCCAGACTGATTTCTCCCAGCTTCTCAACTGCCCTGAGTTTGTACCTCGCCAGCACTACCAGAAGGAGACAGGTAGGTACCTTGTCGGCATAGGGGTGCCTCCCCTTGCCCTTGTCCTGTGGCCAGTAATCCTCCTCAGGGCTGGCATCAGGAGGAGGACTGGAGGGATGAGGACCTTACCTTTCCACCCTCAGAGTCGGCTCCTGGCTCTCCTCGTGCAGTCACCCCAGTGCCAACCAAAACGGAGGAGGTCAGCAACTTAAAGACGCTGCCCAAGGGCCTGTCTGCCAGCCTGCCTGACCTGGATTCTGAGAACTGGATTGAAGTGAAGAAGAGGCCTCGGCCCTCCCCAGCACGACCCAAGGTGGGTGAGGCCTGTCCTTCACCCTGAGTTCTAGGAGCTTGGGCTGGAGTGCTCGGAGAGGGGATGTCACATACAGCTCTGAAGGGCTATCAGGCAAGCTGGTGGCTCAGGGTGTAATGTGAGCTGAGGTCACCAGTGTCTGCAGGAGGTTGATGTGACCTGTTTTCTTTGTCAGTGATGTCCGCCCCTCAGTACAGCCCTAGCTGTGTGAGTTCCTGAATGGCATTATTATTTTTTTTTTGTTCAGGTAGAGGGGGGGGGGGGGGGAGAGAGGAACAGAGAGAGAGAGAGAGAGAAACATCGACGTGAAAAGGACACATCGAGTGGCTGCCACCCGCACAACCGACCAGGGCCGGGGACAAACTGCAACCGAGGTACGTGCCCTTAGCGGGAACCGAACCCGGGTCTCTCAGGACCGCAGGCCGACGCTCTAACCGCTGAGCCAAACCGGCCAGGGCCTGAATGGCATTTTTTACAGGAGGAGATCATGCAGCTTCTGGCAGTAGTGTTCCGAGTTGCTTGATGCTTGGCTGTTCTTTTTGCCCCATCTAAATCCCTGGGGCTGGAATGTTTCTCTCCCCGCACCCCCCTCAGCGCCCCCTTCCTTCTCGTCCCCTCTCCCTTCCATTCTATCTAAAAATCAATGGGAAAATATCCTTGGGTGAGGATTAACCAAAAATAAATAAATAAATAAATAAATAAATAAATAAATAAATAAATAAATAAATAAATCCTGGGGCTGCATCTTAAGTGCCTTTTCCCTGGGTTTGTCCTCACTGCACCTGTATAAGCTCCTCAGGCCCTCAGAAGAGGGAAGCGCGAGGGATTCATAGCCTGGATGTAGAGTTGGAGTCTATAGACTAGAGCACAGGTTTCCTGTCACTGATGGCCAGTGACTTTGGGGAGCTTATTGAATATCTCAGTGTTGCAGTTTCCCTTCCCATTTTCAGATGAAGGAGGGGTTAGACTGCTCTAGAAATAGTAAAGCAATATATGAATAGTACAAATTAAGTTTGCTGTTAGAGAAGTGTTTTATTCTCAAACTGAAATTACTGCAGACTTTTACTCCATCCACCTTCCTACTCCCCACTCCCCATACCTTCTTTAGTCTGGGGTTTGTGAGGAGGCCTCAAAGATGACCTTCAACTTTGGGTCTGTGGAATTCTGTACTTCCTTTTCCATTGTTCCACTGTAGTCACTTCTTCCAGGAAGTATTCTCTGACTGTCCTCTTTCCTACACCTATTGGTTAAGTGCCCCTCTCCCTGTATACTCACAAGTTCTATTTATAGTCTCTACCTTAGCATCTGCACTTGGCTTGTTGGTGGTTGACTTTTTTCTTTCACTAAACTGTGAGCTCCAGAAGTTCATTATTCGGCTTTTAGGGTTCTTCATACAGGACCTGGTACCAGTGGGTACTTGCTCATTCATCAGATAGTTGAACTGCTGTCACTAGATCCCAATCTAGGTGCTGAGGATAGGAAGAAAAGCAAGGCAGAGATGTGGTCCTTGCCTCATGAAGCTTATGGGGAAATGCTAGGTAGATGGATAAATGGATGAGTCCGCCTGTTGAACTTCTGTGAGCCCCCTCCCAGGCTAGGTGCTACGTAGGATATAGAGGTAAATGACAGCACAGTTCCTACCTGTAGGGAACTTGTTATCTTATTGTTCATGAATGACTATGATGTGAACTGTAGGTAGAGTAACCTGGAATCCTATGGAACATCCTTTCTCCATGAAGCTGCCCCTAAGGTACATGTGACTTGTTGGCATTTTCAAGGCACAGTTGTGATAATATAATGTTGAGGGGCTGGGGCCTCTATTGTAGGACAACTATAGAACCTGGTCTAAGGACACCTTAGTAATTCTCTTTCCCCTTGGTTTGTCCCTGTGTTAGAAGTCAGAGGAGCCCAGGTTTCTCCACCAGACCTCTCTGCCTCAGCAGCTGCCCTCTCAGCAGCTGATGTCCAAGGATCAGGATGAGCAGGAGGAACTGGATTTCCTGTTTGACGAAGAGATGGAGCAGATGGATGGACGGAAGAACACCTTCACCGCTTGGTCTGATGAGGACTCTGACTATGAGATTGATGACCGGGATGTCAACAAGATCCTCATTGTCACTCAGACGCCACCTTACATGCGCCGGCATCCAGGGGGGGACCGCACAGGCAATCACACCTCCCGTGCCAAGATGAGCGCTGAGCTGGCCAAGGTCATTAATGATGGGCTCTTCTACTATGAGCAGGACCTGTGGACTGCAAAGTTCGAACCTGAGTATTCCCAGATCAAGGTAAGGTTCAAACACAGCAGTGAAGGTGGGGCCTGGAGTGCCTATAATGAATGGGGAAGAAGAAGCCAATTACCTGTATGACCTTGACCATAGAACTTCAATATCCTTAATATGAAAAGAGGGTGATAATTGACACCTTACTGGGACATTGGCAAGGAAAAAGATGTTTACACACTTTGTAACCTCTGCCGTGTGTAGCATGGTTACTCTGCCACCTGAGCATTCATGTTTGTTTTTTTTATTTAATTATTTTTGTTACATATGTTTCTCCTCCCCCTCCCTCCCCGCCCTCTCCCCAGCTTTGTTGTCCATGTCCATTGCTCATGCATACAAGTTCTGTGGTTTATCTCTCCCCCACCACCCCCTCTTCTGGGGATTGTCAGTCTGTACCTCACTTCCACGTCTCTGGGACTACCCCATTCCTCAGACTGTTATGTTCATTATATTCCACAAATAAGTGAGATCATATGATACTTGTCTTTCTCTGTTTGGCTTGTTTCACTTAGGATGACACTTTCCAGGTCCCTCCATGTCATCTCAAAGGATAAGAGATCTTTCTTTCTTACAGCTGCATAGTACTCCATTGTGTATATGTACCACAACTTTTTTATCCATTCGTCTACTGATTGACACTTGGGCTGTTTCCAGATCTTAGCTATTGTAAATAGTGCTGCTACAAACATGGGGGTACATATATTCTTTCTGATTGGTGTTTCAGGCTTCTTAGGGTATATTCCTAGAAGTGGGATCACTGGGTCAAATGGAAGTTCGATTTTTAATTTTTTGAGGTCACACCATATTGTTTTCCATAGTGGCTGCACCAGTCTGCATTCCCACCAGCAGTGTACTAGAGTCCCCTTTTTTCCACACCCTTGCCAACACTTGTTGTTTGAAAGCATCCGTGTTTAATGTGCTAACAGTCAGCTAGATACTTCTGTGGGAAATAGAATAAGGGTTAGATTATCATTTTTATTCTTAAATATTTAAGCATATATAAAAGTTAAAAAGCCTCACTCGGCTGGTGTGGCTTAGTGATTGAGCATCGATCCATGCACCAAGAGGTCACTGGTTTGATTCCCAGTCAGGGCACATGCCCAGGTTGTGGACCTAATCCCCAGTGGGGGGCATGCAGGAGGCAGCAGCCAATCGATATTCTCTCTCATTGGTGTCTTTATCTCTGTCCTCTTCCTCTCTCTAAAATCAATAAAGAAAAATTACTTTTTAAATAAAGTTTAAAAGCCTTTTAAGGAGCTTGCTTTAAGTTTGAAAGATGGAGAAAAGCTAGGTCTTTTTAAAGTCATTGCTACTTGGAAACAATCAAAACCTCTGTTGTAGGTTTTTACAGTGTATATATGTGGAGATAGGTGGGCCTTTCAGCCTGTGTAATAAGTTAGCAGTGTGTTTGGTGGAGGTGAGGAGAGATTAGCAGGAAGAGATTCGGGGAGTCTGCATTGAGTTACTGGGGAGCTGGAGTCCTGATTTGTCTTGTTGCAGAGAGGGCTGGGCAAGTACTAATCCCTTCTGGGTTAGCACACTTGTGCCTGGGTAACTGGGGTTAAAGAATGATGATGGGGCTGCTGAGAGCCTGGGGACCAGAATTCCACGTATGTGGACTTGGGAGCTGCCCTCTCTAGCTTCCTGCACGTCTTGATTCCTAAACAGGCTAGGGCAGTCCTCTTACTAACATCTTTCCCCACCCATCTCGTATCCTCTGCAGCAAGAAGTCGAGAACTTCAAGAAAGTCAACATGATCAGCCGGGAGCAGTTTGACACACTAACCCCTGAGCCCCCTGTGGATCCCAACCAGGAGGTCCCTCCTGGGCCACCCCGATTCCAGCAAGGTGAGGGTAACACTGGGGACTGTGGCCTGGGTTGGAGGGTCTGGAACCCTTTGACAGGAGGTGTTCCAAGGATAGACAGTCACGGGCCTACCCCTGTTTGCTGACCCTACTCTGCCTCTGCAGTTCCCACTGATGCCCTGGCCAACAAGTTGTTTGGTGCTCCTGAGCCCTCTGCCATCGCCCGCTCTCTACCAACCACTGTCCCAGAGTCGCCAAACTACCGCAATGCCAGGACCCCCCGCACACCCCGGACACCACAGCTCAAAGACTCAAGCCAGACACCACGGTTTTACCCAGTGGTGAAGGAAGGACGGACACTAGATGCCAAGGTGAGGCACTCCTGCTGGACTGCTAAGAGTCTTGGGTCCATTTCACTGCGTCCCAGTGCCTTGCTTTTCTCTCTCTGGCCTGTCTAAACCAAAAAGGTGCCAGATCCCCCACCTGCTGTGTATTCTTAGGCTGGTGGGCCCACCTGGGGTTGAATGACCACATCTACAAAATGAATTGGGTGTGGGACTGGTGGCCCCATGGAGCCATGATAAGCCCAAAGGAGGACTGACCAGGTATAGGTTCTTGGGAAAATCACTTCACTCCCAAGCCTCTCTGAATAGGCATGTCAGCTCCTAGCTGTGGACATTGTGAGAGAATAGATGTGAAAATGATTTGTAAATTATGAAATGACACACACATATGAGGAGATCTTAGTCCTACAAAATGCTTGATGCTTCCCACAGTTGTATGAGTACAATAAATAATGAGTCCTGGACTGACCTTTGCAGATGCCTCGGAAAAGGAAGACAAGACACAGCTCCAACCCACCCTTGGAGAGTCACGTGGGCTGGGTGATGGATTCACGAGAGCACAGGCCCCGGACTGCTTCCATCAGGTGTGAGGCTGTGGGGAGGAGAGATCAGGTTGACAGTGAGGTAGGTGGGAGAGCCACGAGATCGATGGGACCAAGAAGACAGAACCTTTTTGGTAAGAAAATTAAAGAAAGGGACCTTTATCTAAATCCAGATAAACTAAAAGTAGTCTAGAAAGCTTCATCCAAGGCCTGGGAAGAGGAAGGCTTCTTTCTAAAGCAGTAGTGTCACAGCCATCTGGGACCAGATCCTCAGAGAGTATCCGTGAGTTGATATTTGCTGCCTACCTCAGGATAGTTTGGCAGTTGAGTAAAAATACAGATTCCTGGGCCCTACTGAGGTCAGGGCCCAGGTAACTTTTTATTTAATTTAAGTAAAATAGCTCCAGTACTTCCTGTTCCAAAGCAAGGTTTGGGAGCTACTGACTTGTGGACTGTATTTTCTGCAAAGATGGTATAGACCAAAAATAGGCATAGTTTTAAGAAAAATATAGATGGATTAACCGATAGTAGCTCATTCATAGAAGGTAAATGTTAACTCAGGTAGATAAATTGTTAAAGGCTTAGGTTTGGGCATTGTACAGATCTCAGCCTTTAAATAGCTTCATGACCTGAGATGAATCTCCTAATCGAACCTTGGTGACCTCTTTTTAAACCTCTGGAAATTGATGCAAAGAGCAAGTCAAACCCATCGATATAAGTCAAGGGGCCTACCACAGTGCCTGGGCCTTGTTATTTGTTGCCTTGTGAGGCTAGACCTAGGCTTATGGAAGAGACTAGAGGGGTCCCTGCCAACCTGATGGCCAGCTGCTCCAGGGAACCTGGTGACACTATCTCTTTCGTGGCCTCTGTAGCTCCAGCCCCTCAGAAGGGACACCTGCGGTTGGCAGCTATGGCTGTACCCCTCAGTCACTGCCCAAGTTCCAGCATCCTTCTCATGAGCTGCTCAAGGAAAATGGCTTTACACAACACGTCTACCACAAGTATCGTAGGCGCTGCCTTAATGGTAAGAAGCATGGGGGGGGGGAAGGGGCTGAGCCTCTGGGGTCACTACTTAGATCCAGAGTATAAGTGGTATAAGTTCTGGTGGAGTATGTGACTATATTCTATGACCTCAAAACAAGAAGTGGCATGACATTATGGCAAGAAGGAATATTAGACTCAGGCCCAGATAATTTTGGAATGGAGGAGGATAAAAGAATCTAGTACTCAGAAAATTCTTGCTCCTAGATCTTCCTCTGTTGATATTAAAAATATCAAGAGTTTTCTTATTTCTGGTAAGACTACCAATTTAGCCATTGTCCAGTGTGGTCTACTGTCTATCATAAAAGTATATGTGAGGCAGCATATATTCTAACTAGGGTGTGGGCCAAATCCAGCCAGCAGCCTGTTTCTGTGTAGCCCCTGAGCTAAGAATAGTTTTTACATCTTTAAGGGGTTGTGAAAGGAAAGATGATTTATGATGGAACCCATATGTGGCTTGCAGTGCCTAAAATCCTTACTCTGACTCTTTACAAAAGAAAGTTTGCTAAACCCGGCTCTACATGATAATCTAAGGAAAGAGCCACTGTACATGCTCTCATGTGTTTCCTTGTATCATGAAATGAGGTGCCCTTTTTTTTTAATCCTCAACCGAGGACATTTTTGCATTCATCTTCAAATAGAGTGGGAGGGAGGGAGGGAGAGAGAGAAATATCAGAGACACATTGACTGATTGCCACCCACCTAAACCCAACCGAGGCCAGGGACAAACTGCAACCAAGGTACGTGCCCTTAGCAGGAACCAAACCCAGGTCTCTCTGGTCCGCAGGCCGACGCTCTAACCACTGATCCAAACCGGCCAGGGCATGAGATGCCTTTTAACTGTTGGTTTCTGTCAAGTTGGCTGAAAGTGCTCAAAATCAAGCTTAATATTGTAATTATTACCTCACCCGACCTGTCTTTCATTCAGCAAAACATGGCTGCTAAATGCTTGGTTCTTCACCTTACTTTCCCTCTTCACTCTTCCTCTGCATGGATGTGTATATGTAATAACAGCTATATCGAGATAGAATTTACGTATCATACAGTTTGCCCATTTAAAGCATACAGTGCAATTACCAGAAACACTTAGAACATTTTCATTCCAGAAAAAAGAAACCCTACCCTTTAGCAGTCATTCCCCAACACTGCTCCCCCCACTGCCTGTCCCCCAACTCCTCCCAGGCTTATACAACACCAATCTACCCTCTGTCTCTGGACTTTTTGTATTAATGGAATCATACAATATGTGGTTCTTTGGGACTGGCTTTTCTCCCTTAGCATAATATTTTCAAGGTTCATCTATGGTGTAACGTGTATCAGTACTTCATTCCTTTTCATTGCCAAATAACATTATACGGACCGAATATAGCATTTTATTTATTCATAATTGATGGGCATTTGCAGTTCCACTATTTGTCTATCATGCATAAGGTTTCTATGACCATTCCTGTACAAGTTTTTGTGTGGATGTAAGTTTTCATTTGTCTTGTGTGAAAGAGTGGAATTGCTGGCAACTCTTACGGCAACTCTGTTTAACCTTTTGAAAATGGAAGATTGTTTTCAAAAGTGGTGGCACCGTTTTCTTTTTCTTTTTGGTACATGCCCCTAGTGGGAACCGAACCCAGGACTCACTGGTCTGCAGGCCAACGCTCCAACCACTGAGCCAAATTGGCCAGGGCCGTTTTATTTTTCTAATAGCAATTTTTCTACATCCTCCCAACAGTTATTGGCTGTCTTTATATAGCTATCTTGGTAGGTATGAAGTGATACCTCCTTATTTGATTTTGATTTGCATTTCCCTGATAGCTAATAATGTTGAACATTTTTCCATGTTGACCATTTTTATATCTTCTTTGGGAAAGTGTCTATTTAGATCCTTTACCTATTTTTAACTGGATTATTTGTCTTTATTGTTAAGTTATGAGCTCTTTATGTATTCTAAATACAAGTTTCTTTTTCTTTTTTTCTTTTAATTTATTTTTCTTTATTGTTTTTTTTTTTTTTTTTGGAGAGAGAGGAAGTGAGAGGGAGAGAGAGATAGAAACATTGATGAGAGAGAACATTGATTGGCTGCCTCCTGCATGTTCCCCACTGGGGGCCCATGAGCTGGGCATGTGTCCTGACCGGGAATGGAACTGGCGACCTCTTGGTGCATGGGTCCACGCTCAACCACAGCCACACCAGCTGGACTAGATACAAGTTTTTTAATAGATATAAGATTTGTAAAACAGTTTTTCCCATTCTGTGGGTTGTCTTTGCTTTGTTAGTAGTGTCCTTTGGAACACAAAAGATTTTTCTTTCTTTTTCTTGTTTTTGTTAGTCCTCACCCGGGGATATTTCTCCATTGATTTATTTCTTATTTTTATTTTTTAGATGGGGGGAGAGAGGGGGAGAGAAAGAAAGAGAAACATCAATTGGTTGCCTCCCACGTAACCCCCACCGGGGTTGGGAATTGAACCTGCAACCCAGGTTTGTGCCCTTGACCGGGAATTGAACTCGAGACCCTTTGGTCTGCAGGCTGACATTCTAACCACTGAGCCAAACCAGCCAGGGCAGATTTTCAATTTTTTAATGCTAATTAAAAGTATCTTTTTTTTTTTCCTTTAGTTGCTTGTGCTTGGTGTTTACTGTTTTTAATGTTACCACTTTGTACTTGTTAATATTGTAGGACTCCTGAAATAATCATTGGTAATGAATAATGAAAAATATAACTTGTTGAAATGTACAAATTATTTGTTCATGCTTTTCTTTGTTCTGACCATACTTAAGCATAATACCATTTGAGGTGAAAAGCTAGACCAGAATAACCTGGTTCAGAAGCTCATGCCACCTGCTTCTAGTGAGGCGCATACCCAGAGCCCAGCAGTAGGGCCTGAGTGTTCAGTGCTCGGTAAATATCTCCTAAAAGACAGAGGGACAGGTAACGAGCAAAGAAAGTGGTATATGCTGGAGAAGGAAAAGTCCTTGAGCTCTAGGATCCATTTGTACTCTGAAGCAAAGGCAGCCAGGTCCTGACATGCCTTTTCCTTCTTTATTTCCCATCAGAACGGAAACGCTTGGGCATTGGCCAGTCTCAGGAGATGAACACTCTCTTTCGATTTTGGTCCTTTTTCCTCCGCGATCACTTTAACAAAAAGATGTATGAGGAGTTCAAGCAGCTGGCTCTGGAGGATGCCAAAGAAGGCTACAGGTGAGTGGGATTGAAGTGGGGGCTCTGGCTGGTGCTTGGGGTGGTTAGGGGTCCCTGGTGGGTCTACTTCCAGAACTATAATGGAAATCTCTTGTGTATATACTTCATGCACTTCATTTAAAATGTATTATTTTTGAATGAGCAATATATTCACATGGTTCAAGATTCAAAGAGTTCAAAGATTAAGTGAGAAGTCTCCTCATCCCTTTCTCCTGCCATCTGTTTCATTTCTCCAGAGTCAGTGTGTTAGAATCTTGGGTCCTTTCTGAAAATATTTTGGCCTTGTAGGCAAGGACATACACTATATAGACTTTCCTTACCCCTTTTGTTTGCACAAAAGATGGCCTCTTTTGAAAGCATATAGCTTTTGCACCTTGATTTTCTACTTAATCTTGTATTTTAAAGATCATTTCATATTCACCTATAAATAACATTCTTGTTCCCTTTATAGTCTATGTGGGCTTATACTGTATGGATGTACTATAATTCATTTAACCAGTCTCTTACTAATAGATACTTAGGTGGTTTTCAATATTTTAATACTTAAACTTTTTAGACTCTTCTTTTTTTCCCAAGTGAAATGTGTTCTTGAAGCAATTTGAAAAGTACAGAAATGCTCAAAGAAGCTGGGGGCATGCCTCAGTCCAAAGATACCCAGTGTTAAAGATCTGCCATATTTCTTCTTCTTTTTTTTTAGATCATCCTGTGAATGCCTTTTTGTATCTTATTATTTATAAGCATGAGCATTTTTCCATGTTTTTAAGATAATTGACTTTTTGGTCCTGGCCAGTTTGGCTCAGGGGTTAGAACATTGGCCTGCAGACAGGGTCCCGGCTTCGATTACCAGTAAAGGGCATATACCTGGGTTATAGGTTTGATTCCCGGTCCCAGCGAGAGTCATAGGGGAGGCAACCAATCAATATGTCTCTCTCTTCCCTCCCTCCCTCCCTCCCTCCCTCCCTCCCTTCCTCTTTCCCTCCCTCTTTCTTTCTCCCTTCCTCTCTCCCTCCCTCCCTCTCTCCTTTCCACTTTCTCTAAAAACTAATGGAAAAATATCCTCTGGTGAGAATTAACCAAATAATAATAATTTACTTTTTGGCCTTCTTACAGAAGTTATGTGTTATTGCCTGAACGTTTAGAAAACATAGATAAGATCACTTGAAAAGTTTCAACTCCCACAGATAACCAGTGTTAATATATTTAAGTGTGTGCCCTTCTAGACTTTGGTGCATATGTAGATGTAAAATTTACATATTTGTTTACAAAAATGGGTTCATTCTATATAACACTATGAAACACTTCCACTTGTTAATATCTCATAAGTATTTGTCAGTATCATCAGTGAATCTTTACATTGTAATTTTTAATAGCTTAATTATTCTGTTGAACAGATTTACCATATTTTTCTTAACTAATTCTCTATTCTTAGACATTTAGATTTTGTTTAATAATTCTGCTATGAATAGTTTTGGTATATGTGTAAAATCTAAATCTGCATTTTTGCTCTGGCTACTGTTGCTCAGTGGTTAGAGCGTCGACCTTGCACCAAACAATTGCGGATTCAATTCCTGGTCCAAGGGCATATACCTGGGTTTGCAAGTTCAATCTGGTGACTGGTGGGGGTGTGGGCAGGAGGCAACCAATTGATGTGCGCCTCACTTGCATCAGCATTTTTCTCTCTTTCTGCCCCTCTCCACCTCCCTTCTACTCTCTGTAAAAATAGTGGAAAAAATATCCTCAGGTGAGGATTAACCAAAAAAATAAACAATCTACATTTTTGTCCATTTCCCTGACATGTTCCTAAAAGTGAAATTTCTGAGTCAGATAAATGAAACAGACCTACTAATTGGCATGGTCGAATAGCTTTGCAGAGAGCTTATCCCAGGGATTGGCAAGCTTTTTCTGTAAAAGGACAGACAATAAATATTGTATGCTTTATGATCTCAGCTGCAACTACTCAACTCTACTCTTATAGCGGAAAGCAGCCAATGACATATCACAAATGAATTGGAGTTATGTGTGGTCAGGGTGCTGCTATTCGTTTGGCCAGAATTTGCTGATTTGTGGCAGACTAAACATTTCATGTGGGAGCTGCTTAGACTAGCATCCAGTATTAGCCTTCTTAAAGAATTTGCTGTTTCCTTGATCATCCATTGTGTTTAAACTCTTTCAAAGTTCATCTCTTACGAGGGTTCATTTCCTTGTTTTAAGATGAAGAAACTGAGTCCTGATTTCACTAACTTCTGTTCTCCTACAGATATGGTTTGGAGTGCCTTTTTCGATATTACAGTTATGGCCTGGAAAAGAAGTTCCGTCTGGACATATTCAAGGATTTTCAGGAGGAAACCGTGAAGGACTATGAAGCTGGTGAGAGCCAGAGTTGGAGCTCTGTGAGCCCTGGTCATCTAGGCTTTCTTCCCTAGATGATCAGTTTGACCCCAGTTTGTCTGGGTCTGTCTATCACATCATACCTCACTCTTCTCTGAGCCACTTTATTCTCAACTTCTCACCAACCCAGCTTCTCTACCTCTCTTTTCCTACAGGTCAGCTCTATGGGCTGGAGAAATTCTGGGCCTTTTTGAAATATTCCAAAGCCAAAAATTTGGACATTGACCCCAAACTTCAAGAATACCTCGGCAAATTCCGACGTCTTGAAGACTTCCGAGTGGATGTAAGTAAAAGTCTTTCACTCTGGTTCGTTTGGCCCAGTGGTTAGAGGACCAAAGGGTTGCAGTTCGGTCCCTGGCCCTGGTTGGTCGTGCGGGAAGTAACCAATTGATGTGTTTCTCTCTCCCTCTCCCTCTCCCTCTCCCTCCCTCCCTCTGAAGATAAATGGAAACATATCCTCAAGTGAGGATTTTAAAAAAATATATCTTTCTGGTTGTCCTGGAAAACACTGGACCAGAGATCAGGAAACCTGGGTTCTGGCTCAAGCTGTGCCACTGGCCCAGGGATACCACCCACCCCAGTTTGGGCCTGGTGTCTTCCTCTGTAAACTTGAGGGTGAGAAGTGGATGGTGAGGGCTAATTGCAAGGGGTTCTGTGGCTGCTTCTCCCTCCCCTTCCCATGATAACAATGGCTAAACCATCACAATGCTCTCTCCCTACTATCTTGCAACTCCCCTTGTTCTGTGTATTAGTTGATAAGGAGGGGTACCCAAGGAAAATGGTTTTGCCCTTTCTGGAAGAGGCCAGTTTTAACCCCAGAAGTTTATAAATTATGTTCAATTTTTTTTCCACCTCTACCCCTGCTCCCATCTTCTTACATTTTTATTTTTTTTTTAATTTATTTTTGAGAGACATGCATGTGAGAGAGAAACATTGATTGGTTACCTGCTCTATGCGCCCCAACCAGGGATTGAACCTGAAACCTGGGTATGCTCCCTAACTGGGAATCGAACCCACACCTTTCCGTGTACGGGACTACGCTCCAACTAACTGAGCCACACTGGCCAGGGCTCCCGTCTTCTTGGAGTACTAACTGAACAGTGACATCCAGTGGTGGGTTGGGGTTATTGCTACTGGATTTTTCAAGGAAAGGGGTAATTGGATGTCTCTGTGCAAGGTGTGCCTCGAACTGCAGCGATGAAAGACTCCTTCAAAGAGTTAGTAATGTAGTAGGGATATGCCAGTTATCTTACTCCTTGAAACCTTTTAGGAAAAAGGCAAATATAAATAAAGAGCAATAATAGTTTATACTTTATTTTACTTTTTATTTTCTTAATATGTTTTTATTGATTTTTTAGAGAGGGAGGAAAATTGATGTGAGAGAGACACATCGATCAGTTGCCTCCTGTATGTACACCCCTCACTGGGGATCATGCCCGCCACCTGGGCATGTGCCCTAACCTGACCGGGAATTGAACGAGTGATCTCTTGGTGCATGGGTCCATGCTTAATCTACTGAGCCATGTCGGCTGGGCTACATTTTATTTTTTTAATTGCCATTGAGTGTTTACTATGTAATGGGCACTTTACATTGTTCTCATTTAACCTTTACAAAATGGTGAAGTAGGCAAGGTTTATTGTTATCATCTCTGTACCGAGTAAACAAGCCCATGGTCGCCAGCGAGGTGGTGGCCGTACTGCCTAGGCCTCCCAATATAAAGATAAGTAGGGTTTTTTTTTTTTTCCATCCTTAAGTGCATTCTCTCCTTTGAGGATGGGATGGGGAGACATATGCAGAGGACTCCTGTAATAGGATGACCAGTTAGGATGGAACAAGATAGGCTCAGCTTTGGCACCCAGAAAGGGAAGGAAACCTCCTCAAGGTTATAAGACCTTTGGTAGTGGTGCAGCCCAACTGGATCATGGTCTGACTCTTAGAGCAGTGTCTGTTATGGGCCTTGAGAGGACGAAGCAGTCTCTGGGGGCCTGGGGGCCTTCTGAGATGTCTCCGCCTGTCTTCTGCCACATTCCATGTATCATCTCCTGAGCAGTGATCCCTTCCCATAACAGGAACAGAAACTCGATGGATAAAACCCTGGGCTTCAGCAGTATATGGGCCCAGTACCTATTTTGTCTTTACCGATTACCAGCTATGGGACCCTGGGCAAATTATTTTCCTGTGCTTCAGTTTCCTTATCTGCAGTATCAGTGATCATGTCTGCATCCAAGGGTAGTGTAGACCCCATGAGTAAGTGCATAAAATAGCTTGGTGCTTGACATCCTAGCACAGAGACATGTTCAGTAAAATTGGTCATTTGTTTTTAGGGCTAAGCGTATTCATTATCTACATAATATTTGGAGGTGGGAAATAGGAGTTCCCAATACAGCCTTGGCAAGGAGGAGGGTGTGAGTAGTGCCCCCTAATCACATATGACTCCTTCCTCTCTTAACAGCCCCCCATGGGTGAAGAGGGCAACCACAAGCGACACCCAGTGGCAGCAGGAGGTGGTGGCGGTGAGGGCAGGAAGCGGTGCCCCTCCCAGTCTTCCAGCAGGCCTGCTACTGTGATCAGCCAACCCCCCACACCATCCACTGGCCAGACCACCCGGGAAGATGCCAAATGGACGAGCCAGCACTCAGACACACAGACTTTGGGAAAGTGAAAAACCCCTTAGCCCTGGGGGTTTGGCGGGGAAAGGGGGTGGGCAAGAGTCCATGGGGGCGCCCAGTCCCAGGAGAGGGGACAGAGAAGGGACAGCCCTAGAGTCATTAGGATGGGCCTTTGTGCTGAGTAGCAATGTGTACACCTTTTGGGCTATCAGAGGTACCCCTGGGCAGGAGCCTCCACATATCCCCTTCCCCTCTTCTCTCCATGACTCTTCTTCACATCCTAGCTTCTTCTAAGGGGGGAGGGAAAGGGGGGAGATTTTATATATATATATATATATATATATATACGTATATATATCAAGTTTTAAATTATTGATAGTTCATTTGGATTACCAAAATCACTCTGTAGCCCTGCCCACGGCTGATAGGCCGCAAAGCAACCCTGGTCCCCACCCCACAGCCTCCTGCTCCCCCTCAAGCCAACTATGCAGCCCATAAGAAGGCCCTGTGGGCCCCATTGCCCAGCACTGTCCCATGGAAGGCTCTGCAGCGCCCCTGGGCCCCACGAGCACCAGCCCCTTTGACATCTGGGGCTTGCCATCACCATGTTCTCTCCCTGCTGTCCCCACCATGCCCTTCTGCCATCTTCCGGGAGAAGGAAACCAAAGGATCTAAAAAGTGGAGGTGGAAGGTTTCGGCCTCTGCCCACTACCCTCTCCCCATGCCCCTTTCTCCCCAGCCCAGAGAGACGCTGCTCATACCAGAAAAGACTATTGAAAGATGATTTATTTTATTTTTCTCTGACCCTTCCATGCTTGGGGAAGAAGGAAACAAAAAAACAAAAACAAACAAAAAAAAAGACAAAACCGACCATAAAAGACCAAAAAAAAAGAAAATCAGAAAACCCCCACCTAATCCACAGCAAGTGATGTTTTTCTCCTACCCTTGGAATTTGTTTTGTTTTGTTTTGTTTTGTTCTTGGAAATAATATTTTTTTAAAAGTTGCCTTATTGTGGAGCGGGAATCTGAAATGCCCAAATGCCTGTTTTCCTCGGGGGAGTCAACTCAGAGCTCCCACCTTCTCTGGATGTGCCTGGGCTGGATTGACTAGAATCTTCCTCTGGACTGAGTTGCATGTACAGTACCTCCGGCCTTGGAGGCGAGAGAGTTGGGGGTGGCTCGAATGAGAGCCATGCCCCAAATATCCCTGCTGTTGCATCATTTGAAGCTGACGTCCTGTGTCTACACTGCTGCCACTGTTGTGTCCTCACTCTGCTTGCTGTTGCCTCACGCCAGGCCTCATCCCTGCTGTGACACCCTTTTTCCTACCCTTGGAACCCTAGGGCCAAGTTTGCTTCAAACTGTTGGAGAAGAGCGTTGGCCTGGATCTGGGACACACATGTCCTCAGTTTGACCGTCTCCCCGCCTCAGAGGGGAAAGGTGAACACTTGGCAGCTGAGGCTTGGAAATGTTTCTTACGTTGCCCTGAAAGATCTTTCGAGACCTCAAGGAGGCTTTGTCTCATAAAAGGTGGAGAATAATGCCCTTCTCCTCCGTTGATTCTGGTGGGTTCTCCCTATCTTGCACCCCCCTCTGCAAGCCATCTCTGCCCACTCTCTAATTGACCCTGCCTGGGAACGAGGGATGAGGAAAATGGAGGGCTGGGGAGAACTCTGCCATTTGGTGAAGCCCCACGGCAGGAAGGTATATGTGGACATAGAGTATACCTGACTTCTCCAGCCACTGACTGCTTGGGTTGGGCTGTGAATGACAATGAAATGGCTGGAGTCTACAGGCATTTGAAACTGGGGAAGGTGATGAAGGACTGATTCACACAGACTGGGCTGTGTGTTGGGTGCCGGATGACGATGCGTTCATCCCCAGTGGGGACCAGGAAGCACTGAAAAGTTTGTGGTAGTGTTGCTCAATTGCTGACACTTTTCTTGGCCCTCTTTTTCAACTGCTTCTTCTGTTGGGCCCAAAGGCTGGGAGTAGGCGACAGTATCCCAGGCTGGCAAGGGCTTGCCTCTGTCTTGAACACCTCATTGCTTTTGGCCTGCCCCCTCCCTCATTTCTGCCCTCCCAGTGGCTAGTGTGTTGGGAAACCCATCTCACTTCCTGTGACCCAATTGTCTCAAAAGCCAAGAATGAGTGTGTCCGGTCTTCACTCTGACAGTGGGGTCTGAGGCCTTTCCCTGCCCAGTCTGGTGCCTGCCCCACATTGTACCAGACACTGGACTCTTGCACCCCCACCTCCTTTTGCTTTGGCTTCTCTTTCCTTCAGGTCGCTCAGCCCTGTACTGTATCCAGCACCACAGAAACCTCAGTGTTTGTCCTCTGCTGGGTTTGGGGCACAAGAAAGCCTTGCGGGTGTGGGGAGAGGCTGTTCTGATCTAGAGTTTATTCCCAGGCCAGGGGGCTGCCCTTCTGCCTGATCCTTCCCCACAGACACCCTAGGAAGAGGAAGCCCCTTTGAGGTGAGGACGTCATCTCAACATAAGGCTGAAGATGGGGAAAAGGAGACTTTTTTTTCTTTCCTTTTTTTTAAACATGTTAGGAGTTGATGTTGCAACGAGTAGTTTACATCTTCACTTTCTGAAGACACTTGAATTTAGGACCGATGTATCTGTGACAAGCATGCCAGGAGTGGCAGGGGCTATCAGGGCTCGCCACTTCACACCCACCATCCTCTCATGGGGGTCCAAGATCTGAGACAAAGAAGCAGCCTGCCCAGATTCTTCTGTTCATCCTGTATCCTTCCAGGATTGGTCAATACCAACGCAATCTTTGGGCATCGAACATCAGAAGGTCTGTGTGTCAGCCCTGCTAAGGGGGCAGGTTTCTCTTCCACCGTCTCCTGAGCCTGGGTGCAGATGCACTACCAGTAGGGGGCTGATGGGCCCTGCCCAGCCTGGACCCCTGGGGCTCAGGTAGAGGTGCAGAGCCCCATGTCAAAATTGTTAAACGTTTTGTTTTGTTCAATTGTAGCTTTTTCTCCCCCTTTCCTGGTGATTGATTTTAGAAAAAAAAAGTAAGCTGCTCAGAAGGCCCTGGAAGTAAGGAGGAAGAACAAGGAAGATGACTAGCTAGGGAGGGTTGGGGTGGTTTCTTTGCCAAAAGCCTGGGTAAAGGAGTCTGGATCATCTGGTGCCCTCCTGAGTGGGACCCCAAAGTATCTCCTGTTTGGAGGGTCCCTGGACTTGCCCCAGCCCCACCCTCTCCTTCAGCCATGTTGACGGCAGAGGCAGAGAAGATAGGAACTTACAGCCCATTTCTCACTGGAGAGGAAAACTTGTCATCTGGCTTTGCGGAGAAGGTTCCACCTTATGCTCATAGTACATTATCTTTACCATGTGCTAGGATATCACATTTAAAAGGACAAAAATGTAAAATACTTGAATGAGCTTGTATTATAACATTAATATTATTGAGAGTATCTGCTTTCCAGGCTGAAGTGATTCATTCATTATTCTAGTCTGCTTTAGTCCTTTGTAATTTGTGGTAATTATGCTTTTCTTTTTAATACAAAAAAATGTATAAAAATAAAAACTTGAAAAGGCACAATACTGGCTGGTCTCCCATCTGGGGTACAGCTATTGGGTGTAAGGGATGGAGCTGGTGATGGAGGAACCCTGCCCTGCACATGAAACCTTTGCTGGGCTCTGCCATTGGGCTTCTGGGGAGTCTGCATAAGGCAGGGGCCCCTGAGCTTCTCAGGCTGCTAGTGCATCCATGTGGATTCCTCAGTTGTCATGAGAGCTTCTGCGAGTCTTGAATTTGTGTTTACCATGTGTCTTAAGTAAGATCCGGGAGCTCTAGCCAGTGCCGTAGAATAGAGACACCAGTCCTACAGCTAGGATTCCAGGGTGTCCTGCATTGGCTGTCACCTGGTGGTGTGGTAAGAGACAGCCAGGAGATAGAGGTTGCTGTGATTTCTCACAGAAGGGTTGGCACCACCCCCTCACTAAACAGACTCCCCCACTGGATTGTACAGTTCAGCGCTGGCTTTACGGAATCCAGGTCAGCCAGTGATCCCTGCAGATTAATGCTAGGGAGAAGCACTGTGCTCTCCCATATCTCCATCGTGACTGGCCTCTGGGCTGTTGGTGGCTTTTCCCCAACCCATGAGGCCAGTCACTGGCAGTAGTAACATTCTGAATGCCAGTCTGGCCTAGATGTATAATTACAAAATTAAAAATGCAGTGTGGCCTTATTTACTCATCTTACTGTCAGCCAGGTGGCAGGTGCTTTACCTCCAATGGCCTTCATAGGTCAAAGGGTAGGAGACAGTGGCCAGGGCTTCTGCAGGTTGATTGGACAGGCGGACAGTTAATTCAGCTGCACTCACTCCTGTTAAGGAGTGCTTGTGAAAGGCCACTAATTGTGTCCATTGGGCCACCGCAGTTCCCAGAAGGCATGTGATCAAGAGTGTTGGAGTAAGTCGAGCAGTGGAGAGAAAAAACTGAAGTAGCTAATGGAGTTTAAAAGAGACCAGTTTATTTTCTCTGTTTCCTCAGGCAAAGGGTACATCCTAGGGAAGGTTCAGGTGTACCAACTCCAGAGGTGGGTGGGTGGGTGGGGCTTTGCAAGGCCAGGGAGGACTCTGCCTGCCTGGGAAGTTCCTAGTTGGCCTACTGGGCAGATTCTCTCGCGTTCCTAGGGCTAATGGAAAGAAGTTCTTTTTGATGGTTCTGTCTGGAGACTTGGTAATATCAGATGTTAAACTATTTTCTAAAGCTGCAGTGGGTGGTTATCTTGACATACCAGAACTGAAAGTTCAGGAAGACCCAAGTATATGTAAGAATTTAGTAACTGATACTGGCAGCCTTTCAAGTCAGAGTGGTCTTCTGGGAGCCACAGGGTTCCTGGCAGTGTCCGTGGCTGCTGAGGGAAAGCCAGGGTGGGGACTGCTACGACCCATGTGGCTCTGGTTTTGTTTCAGATAAGGTCAAAAGGCATCACTGCTAAAACAACTGCTTAATCTTTTGGGGGGAAAAGAGAATTTTTGCCCTTTGTTCAGCCATGTTTTTCTTCTCATTGAAGGAAGGAGGGTTCTAGCCTCTGGTCTTGCTTCAGAGGCTAATTTAGGGGCCTCAGTCAAGTGTCCCCAAAGGTCAGCAACTTTGACCCTTCCCTCTGTGGATTAAAGGCCCCAGTTTAGCAGGTCCACAGGGTATGGCTTTTGGTTCCCACGTATGGTTCCCTGTCCTGGCATTTGGTCTGCACCTCTCCAGAGTCTCAGCTGTAATCCAGGGACGAGCTTCCGTGGTATTTTTCTTTTCAGAGAGGGCCAATGTCTGTTTGCAGTGGGTCAGAAATAAAATAGGGCCTCTGTCACTGACTCTGTGTTTGGGAGGGGCAATGGGGAATTGATCCCTACAACTATTACCAGGGTGCCCGGCAATAGGTTTTGAGAGAATTTTTGGGAACAGGAAAGGGGTCAAGTGCTCTCTTCTGATTTCCCCTGGCAGCAGAAGGGGCTCTCTGGAACCATGGGACCTCCAGGGTGGCTGCCACCCTTGTCCTTCTCTACATCTTGCCTATACAAGGATTCATCTGGGGTCCCTCTTCCCTTTCACAGCAGAGAACTGTGGGGACTTGCCATTCTGGGGAGCTGTTTCTTTAAGCTAACTCCTGGTCCCCTTGAGGGACAGCAGAGGCAGTCAGGAGGCCTTGACCCCATCCTTGGCCCTGCATTTCCTATAAACTGGCATCCCCTCTACTCCCGTGGTGCACTTATTAGAGTATGTGGCGGAAGAAATAAGTAATTAGAGGTGCTCAGGAGGCCACAGGCTACCTTAGCAGTCCGCTGCTAGGGGACAGCCAGGATGGCACTCAGGCCCTCTCTCACTCCATCTTCGGGGGTTCGGGGATGCTCTCAGAAAGTGGGGTGAAGCCTAACAGGAGGATGTGTCTCTCGTAGGCCTTGGTCTGCTTAAACATGGTGTCAGTCCCATGGAGGTGGTCCAGCACACCTAGCACCCCGTAGCACTGGTTGAACCTGGAGGAGAGAGGAGGGTGCTGGAAGCCTGCATGCTGACCTCCAATTCATTCATGCCTGCCTCACACATTTCTGAGTCCTCTCCCCTTCTATCCCCACCATGCTGCCCACCTGTACCAGAATAGCCAGGGGAGATGTGGGACACATTCCTGGGGCCACTCCAGACTGAAAATCTGCGAGCTTCCTTGGAAAAGCTCTCCTTGTGATTGCAGTGCACACAAGTCAGAACCTGAGGCAGAACTCGGCTTGTTCAGGTAGGTTCAAGGGCTACCTGAATCAGAATCCCCTGGAACACTTATTAAAATGCAGATTTCCAGGACCTGCTCCTCTCCCGCCCAACCCCGCAGACACTTTGATTTGGTATATTTAGAGTGGAACCCAAGGGCCCGCACTTGCAAGGCACATCCCAGGTGATTCTGGTGCGGGCCGCTCCCAGACCACGCTGGAGAAAGCCTGGAGGTTTTCCGTGCGCAAGTCTTGACCTGCATGCAGGATTTGTTTGTTTGTTTGTTTTTGATACGTGCCCTGGGTTTAGTGGGAGCCAAACCCAGGACTCTCTGGTCCACAGGCCGATGCTCCAACTGCTGAGCCAAACCGGCCAGGGCTGCATGCAGGATTTGTATGTAAATATACATTTTTCTGACAGTGTCCATAACTTATGGGTCTAGGACCTGAGTAAAGGTTAAAAACCCAGTTGCAAGAAGATCCAGTGTCAGAAATAAGGAAAGAGTAAGGTGGCCTGGGATCCAGCGTGGTAATTATTTTCCCCACCTCCAGACCTCTGTTCCACTAGCACCCACATTTAAACTCAGACACCAGTGTCTGCCTGCGGAAGCTCTAAGAGTAAAGGCAATGGGAAGGGGAGCCTTACTTGAGATGGTGAAAGTCATGGAATTCAGGTGAAGGCAGGAAGGGTAGGTGGTAGCCACAGTGGGAGATGGTGGTGACAATCAGGCTCAAGGAAAACCACACGGTGATGGAGGACAAATGGGAGCCCATTACTATGGGACCCACCATTGCCGGCAGCATATTGGAAACCTGCAAGGGGAGGGCTGTTGGAAGGTGTGCCCCAAGGAGATGGAGGGGACTCAGTTGGGTGACCCCTTTGCTCCAAGGTGGTACCAGAAAGACTTCCTTGACTCAGGTCTGGAGAAGCTGAAAGAGTTTCAGGACCATGGTTTGCTGGAATCATTTACCTACCTTTGCGGCTTGGGACAAGTTATTAATGGTTTGTGCCTCAATTTTACTAATGAGGATTAAAAGGGTTCTTGAGAAGATTAAATGAGATAACTTATGTTGGCATCTAGTACAGCCTGGTGTGTGCTAAGGTGACAATAAGGGGTAGCTGTTCATGGAAAGGACAAAAGGGCCAGTGTGGTCTGTTCTCCACAGGAGACCTTGGGGACGGTAGTGGGGCCTGGGCCTCTTGCCTCTGGGGAGAGCGGACCTCTACTCACCACATGCTCAATAGGGTGGGCGTAGAGGGAGGTCACGCCAATGGGAGCCGTCCACTCGTGGTGTTTCTTATGGATTTTCTTGTAGAATATTGGGTGGTGAAGGAGCCTGGAAAACAGTTCATCGTTAATAATCTGCCAATACCCCTTCCTTTTCCCACCAGACCATGAGAGACCAAGAGTAGGAACCAGGGGTTACGCCTGCAGAGCAAGGTTGAAGACACAGACTTGCCTTTGAGTTCTAACCCCACCTCGTATTGGGGGTGGGTTACTTTGCCTTTGACCACCTCAGTTGTCTTAGCTGTGAAATGGGGATGATGCCCAGAAAGAATTCACTAAGGAAATGAATGGAGAAAGCCCTGGTGCACACATGAGTAGGGAAGGCTCTTCTCTGGATGTTCTCGGTTGTCTCAAGTTGTCTGCTGTGGAACAGAGCTGTCTCCCTGTTAACTACTTCATGGGAGACTTTTTTTTTTTAAACTTTATTGTTGAATGTATTACAGATGTCCCTCCTTTTTCCCCTATTGACCCCCCTCCTCCCTACTCCCACCTGCTCCTGCCTTTCCCTACACTATTGTCTATGTCCATTGGTTACGCATATAAGTTCTTTGGTTTATCTCTTTCCACTCCCTTTGAGGTTTGTCAGTCTAAAAACCAATCTGTACTTCTTAATCCCTTCACCTTTTTCACCCATTCCCCCATCTGGCAACCAACAAAATGTTTTCTGTATCTATGAGTCTGTTTTTGTTCTACTTGTTCATTTTGTTTAGAGATACAATTGTTGATAGATATGTATTTATTGCCATTTTATTGTTCATATTTTTTATCTTTTTCTTCAAGAAGACCTGTCAACGTTTCATATAATACTGGTTTGGTGGTGATGAATTCCTTTAGCTTTCTCTTATCTTGGAAACTTATCTTGGATATGTCTGTCGATTCTAAATGATAGCTTTGCAGGATAGAGTAATCTTGGTTGTAGGTTCTTGCTTTTCACCACTCTGAATATTTCTTGCCACTCCTTTCTGGTCTGCAAAGTTTCTTGTGAGAAATCACCTGACAGTCTTATGGGAGCTCCCTTGTAGATAACTGCTTTTCTCTTGCTGCTTTTAAGATTCTCTCTTTGTCTTGAACCTTCTTTTTTTTTATCCTCACCTGAGGACATCTTCAGATAGAGCAGGAGGGAGAGAGGAAGGAAGAGAGAGAGAGAAACATCAATGTGAGAGAGACACATCGACTGGCTGCGATTCACATGATCCTAACCAGGGCCGGAGACAATCGCAACCGAGGTATGTGCCCTTAGCGGGAACCGAACCTGGGACTCTCTGGTCCGCAGGCGATGCTCTAACCACTGAGACAAACTGGCCAGGGTATTGAACCATTTGCATTTTGATTATGTGTCTTGGTGTGGGCCTCTTGGGGTTCATCTTGTTTGGGACTCTGTGTTCTTCCTGGACTTATATGTCTGTTTCCTTCACCAAGTTAGAGAAGTTCTCTGTTATTATTTTTTCAAATAGGTTTTCAATTTCTTGCTCTCTCTCTTCTCCTATGGCACCCCCATGATGTGAATGTTGGCATGCTTGAAGTTGTCCCAGAGGCTCTTTACACCATCCTCATTTTTTTTATTCTTTTTTCTTTTTGCTGTTCTGATTTGCTTCTTTATATTCCAAGTTGATGGTTTGCTTCTTGGCTTTACCTACTCTACTATTGATTCTCTGTAAATTATTCTTTACTTCAATTAGTGCATTCTTAATTTCTGACTGTGCATCCTTCATTTCTTCCTGGTCCTTTTGTATGCTTTTGAGGCCCTCACTAAGTTCATTGAGCATCCTTATAAGCAGTGTTTTGAACTCTGCACCTGTTAGATGACTTATCTCCATTTCATTTAGTTCTTTTCCTGAAGTTTTGTTCTGTTCTGTCATTTGGGACACATTTCTTTGTCTCCTCATTTTGTCTGCCTCCCTGTGTTTGTTTCTATGTACTAGGTAGAGTTGCTATGTCTCCTAGGCTTCGTAGGGTGGCCTATTGTAGGTATCCTGTAGGGTCCAGTGGCACAGCCTCCCTGCTCACCCCAGCTGTGCCCTCAAGGTGACCCCTTGTGTGGACTATACACCCTTCTGTTATAATTGAGTCTTGGTTGCTGTTGGCACATCAGTGGGAGGGATTTACTCAGGCTGATCAGCTTCAAGGACTGGCTGTGCCCACTGACCACTGACCTCTGACTACCATGGAGGACCAGCTGTGCAGGGACCTACCACATAGAACAAGACTTACTTCAGCAGGGCTCTGGTACCCACTGAATCCACTCCTTGAGCGTGTTGCTTGTGGAGGTGGTTGAGGGGTAGTGCTTTGACGTGATGTGCTCTGAAGCTGTCCACTGGGTGTGCTGGCTCTGGGGCAAGGTCAGCCCTGCCTGTGTTCTACCCAGGGCCACCAGGCATAAGCTATAAAGTGATCTACTGATGGCTGCTGCTTGTGCTGGGCTTGGAGGTGCCCAGGCAAAGCCAAGCTGTGATCCAAGGCTGGCTGCTCCTAGTGCCAGGCCTGGGGCCACTTAGAGGTACGGGGCTCACTGAGGCCAGATGCTGCCTTTTTGAGAGAAATTAGGAAAATCTGAAACAGGAGCCAAGACAGGTCATTCCTATGGTAAAGCCATTGGAAACATCTTGGGTGGGCCTGAAAGTTGGGTGAGGCAGGGCCTCAGGGAATCACCAGGGTGGGGCAAACAGTATGAGCTGAGCTGGGCTACTTGACTTAAAAATAAACTCCATTCTGATCAGTTATTCCCATACACACCTGAGCAGTTTTTCTAAAAAAAGCCCTGGGACTAACACCCAGAGGAACCATAAAGATAAGGGGGTTAATGATGGCCTTGGGAAACTCGGAGGGACCATGAAAAAGAAAGAGGTTAATGATTGCCCTAACCTCTGTAACAGCTTCTCTCATCCCCTGAACAGTTCCCCCCTCGCCTCTAACAGCTCCTCTTCTATCAGCCCCGCTCCTCCCTTAACGCCACCAAAAGCAGCACCAAGAGAATGTAGTTTGAGCCTATATAAGCAGGCAACAAAGAAGGCTTGGGCTGTGATTTGGGAAGCTATATATACCCCCACAGCCCGCCAATGAATAAAGTGCTCCTTTCATGTACAATTTGGCTGTGCGTCTCCGATTATCTTGCTGACATGTTACAACAGAGCCAGGTTGCTGGTGTCCCAGGTATGGTGGCCTTCTGCAGCCCGTGGAAGAGCTCACCAAACAAACAACGGCCTCCACCAGCACATCTGTCCAGGAGAAAGCTGCCCTACAGATTTTTCTCCAATGCCAAACAACTCAGTTCTCCCCGGTATGTCTCTGGAACCTTTCAAGCTGCCTCCCCCAAGCTGGTGGAGCCTGGAGGGTGCTGAGTAAGTCCGTGTACGGGCCCTTTAAGAGGAGCTGCCTGGGGCTCCCTCAGCCTCCCTCAGCCTCAGCCTCCCTTCCTGCTGGTTTTACAGCCAGAAGTAATGGGGATTCTCTTCCTGGCACTGGAACCCTGAGCTAGACGCCTGGTGTGGGATGGGGTCCCCTTACTCCTCAGGGAGGATCTTCCCAGCCAGGTGTCCCTCCTGATTTTTGTCCGCCACAGGTGGGTGTGGGACCAGCCTGTCTGCGCCTCCGCCCCTCCTACTAGTCTCGATGTGGCTTCTTTAATTCCGTAGTTGTAGGCCTTCCATTCAGCTTGATTTCAGGCGGTTTTGAATGATGGTTGTTCTGTAGTCAAGTTGTAATTCTGATGTGGTTGTGGGAGGAGGTGATACTGTGTTTACCTATGCCGCCATCTTGACCGGAAGTCCCCTCATGGCAGGCTTTTGAGACCAGGTGGTATTGGGCTGCAGTCCACAGGTCCCACTGTGCTCAGGCAGGGCCCTGCTCACCCACTCACCGGTGTGAGTAGTAGAACATGACCTCCTCAATCAGAGTGAAGACTGCCAGCTCCAGGAGGAACCAGTGGAAGGTGGGCAGCTCTCGGCGGCAGGGGTCTCTCCACAACTTGAGGATGGGATAGAGGACGACCACGAGGGGAAGAGAGATCAGGAACTGGTTGAACAGAACTGTGCGGATGCACTGGCGCAGTTTCACAGGATCCACCTGCCGAGGAAGGAAGGAGGGAGAAGGATGACTGTGTGAGAAGGGGGGGCCTTTCCTTCTAGAAACTAGGCTCCACTGTGACCTGTTCACAGGCAGCCCTCATTCAGAAGCGGGTGCTTGGAGGGTGTCTGGCCATAGCTGTCAGCCCCTGACTGCTGCCCAGCCCTGTGGTGGAAACATCTGGTAATGCCCCTTCCTTAGGAAACCCCTCTCCCTGCGCCTTCAGTGTGCCTGAACCAACCTTCTCTTTCCTGGTTCTGCAGCTATCACCACTGTCCCATTTCCGTGGCCAAGCCCTTGGGGAGCCCCCAGGGTGCTTGCAGAAGGCAGTCAGCTCTCAGGCTGACATCCCCATTCAGCCTTCTAGCCCTTCCTCATCCAGAGAAACTTGACTAGGATCAGATGCAGAGATCAAGGCCATCTGCCTCATATGGTCCAGCCTCACTGGACTAGGCCCAGAGTGCAGAAGGAGGTGAGCCAGATAGCTGCCTATTTGGCCTCCTGACTAACTTCCTGTGACCTGTCTTCCTTGGTTTCACAGTGGGGCTGCCTGAGCATTCTCTCCAGGGTCACTACAGCCATCATTTCCCCAAGGATCAGTAACCCCTGACCATTCCCTTCATCAGAGCACTGAGGGTCCAGGTAAGAGGCCATAACCACAGGTCACTTCATGGGGTTTGATGAACTGGTTTAGGATTGGTCAGAAGGGATTTCTGACCAAGCTGTAGGGGTTTCTGCCTCAAGGTGAGCCTGGGTTCATGGTGGTCTTCAGACTTTATCTTCCTCCATCTTTTCCAGGTACTATATCATCAAGAGACGATGGTTTGTGATTATTTTAGGAGATGCAGGCTAAAGGATCAAGGGTGAAATTTTATGATGTCTGGAACTTTGAAATGCTTAAGCAAAAAATTATAGCAGCTTAGATTTTATATTTTTATTTACTGATGAAGCAAATGTGAAATGTTTAAAATTGGTGAATCTAGCCCTGGCCATTTTGGCGCAGTTGTTAAAGCGTCGGCCCGCGAGCCAAAGAGTTGTGGGTTCAATTCCGGTTAAGGGCATATACTTCCATTGCAGTTTGATCCCTGGCCCTGGTTGGGCTCATGCAGGAGGCAACCAATCGATGTGTCTCTCTCACATCAATGTTTCTCTCTCTCCCGCCCTCCCTCTCTCCCTCCCTCCCTCCTACTTTATCTGAAAATAAATGGAAAAATATCCTTGGGTGAGAATTTTTAAAAAATTGGTGAATCTAGGTGATGTGTAAATGAATGACTACTGTGCTACTTTTAAACTTTTGTATATATGTTTGCAATGGTTCATAATTACAAAATGTTGGGGAAAAGAGTGGACAGAGAGAAATTGAAAACTGTAGACAAAGCTTTGCTGCAAAGGAGAGCAAAACTATGAGTGGTACTGAGTATGGGAGATGCGGTCAAGGGTTTTTGTTTGGTTTGGGATTTTGTGTTTAGATTTTAAAATACGTTTTTATTGATTTTTTTTAGAGAGACAGAAAGGGAGAAAGAGAACCATCGATGTGAGAAATACATGCCGCCTCCTGCACGCCCCCCACAGGGGATCGAGCCCGCAACCTGGGCATGTGCCCTGACAGGGAATCGAACCAGGACCTCTCAGTCCATGGGATGATGCTCAATCCACTGAGCCACACCAGCCGGGCTGGGTGTTTGTTTTTAATTTTTATTGTTTAATTGATTGATTTTAGAGAGAAGAAGGGAGAGGGAGTGAGAGAGAAACACTGATGTGAGAAAAACATTGATCAGTCGCCTCGAATATGCACCCCATCTGGGGATCAAACACAAAACCTGGGTATGGAACCAGCAACCTTCCAGTGTATGGGACAACACTGCATGCTGGTTTGGTTTTAAAATGGAAAAAAATATAGCATGTTGATAATAATCCACAGAGGAATAATCTAGGAGAGGAAGGGGAAAAAAGATACATTGAAAAAGAAAATGGCAGCAGAGTGAATGGAAGCTACACAGACCATCTCCCAGGACCAAACTGGAATTACAACTAAAAGACAAATCGTTGGGAAAAAGCAACAGAAAAGCAGCTTGCGAGGACCACATAACCAGGGACACTGACTCGATCCTGGTAGGATGGCGGAGGTGCAAGAGGGGGGCTGGGAGCCCATGGACAGCAGTGGTCTTAGCTGTGAGCAGTGCCCTTAGGGTTAAACTCCCAAGCGGCTCCACAGCACAGAGCCAGGACAGACGCTAAAATAGCCACAGCCACTCACCTTGGGCTCCAGCAGAGGGAGGGTGGACTGGACTGGATTGGACTGGAACTGTGTGGGGACACTTGGGATTTGGAGGGCACTCAGAGCTTTCGCTGAGTTGCAGCCACACAGGACTGTGGCCATCTTACTCTTTCCCAGGGCTCTGAGGAGAGATGGCAGCACTCCCTCGGAGATTCAACCCCACCCTGTGGGCCATTGAAATGCAAATTGAGGCTCAATAACAACCAGCATCTGCCCCACCCCTGGGAAATCCCCTTACTCTGAACACCTGAGGGAGTTTTTCATTCAACTGAGAAGCCAAGGCTCTTCAAGGAACCACTACTGATAGTCTCCAGGCAAAAAGCTAGAGGATAACTGAACCTTTTCTGGACTTGAAACTCTATCCAGGAAAGTAAGACTTGACAGTGGTGTTTAATGTGGCTACCTCTCCAAACCCAGGAGAGGTAGCCACAAACAGCAAAACACCAACACCCACAGGGAAAATTTGGCAGGCTCCAAAACCCACTGAGATATCCAAAATGGTAAAACAAAGAAACAAACCCCAAATGAAAGAGACCTCTACTGAAGATGAGATAAATGAAACACAGTTCGGCAAGTTAACAGAGCTAGAATTGAGAGTCATGATCTTGAGGAAGCTCAACAGCATGTGTAAGGACATGAGCACCATAAGTAAAGACACAGAAACATTGAAAATCAACCAACTGAAAATTAAAAACCACCAAGAAGAAATGAAGAATGACATAGCAGAAATAAAGAACACATTGGAAGGACTAACTAGCAGAGTAGAAGAAGCAGAGGACTGGATCAGTGAATTAAAAGACAGGGTAGAAAAAATCAACCAATCATAAAAACAAAAGGAAAAAACGATTAAAAACAGGAAGACAGCTTAAGAGAACTGTGGGACAACTGGAAACGTAATAATATTCGCATCATAGGAGTCCCCGAAGAAGAAGAAAATGAGCAAGGGTTAGAGAATATATTCAAAGAAATAGTGACAGAAAACTTCCCTAATTTGGTGAAGGGAGAGGGCATTCAAGTTCAAGAAGCACAGAAGCACAGAGAGCCCCAAGTAAGAAGAACCCAAACAGGCCCACACCAAGACACATAGTAATTAAAATGCCAAAAATTAAAGACAAAGAAAGAATCCTAAAGGCAGCAAGAGATAAGCAACAGGTTACCTACAAAGGAACCCCCCTAAGGCTATCAGCTGACTTCTCAACAGAATCACTACAGGTCAGAAGGGAATGGCATGAGGTAATCAAGGTAATGAAAACCAAGGATGTGAATCCAAGACTACTCTACCCAGCAAGGCTATCATTCAAAATAGAAGGTCAAATAAAGAGCTTCCCAGACAAAAAAAAAAAAAGGCTAAGGCAACACATTAGCACCAAACCAGCACTGCAAGAAATGTTAAAAGGACTGCTGTAATTAGTAGAAGAAATAGGAAGAAAAATATAACCACACTAAACAAAAAATGGCAATAAATAAGTACTTTATATATGTTGTTTATAAGAGACCCACCTCACAACAAAAGACTCACGTAGGTTGAAAGTGAAGGGATGGAAAAAAATCTTCCAAGCAAACAGAAAGGTAAAAATAAGCTGGGGTAGCAATACTCATATCTGATAAAACAGATTTCAAAATGAAGGCCATGCCCTGGCCGGTTTGGCTCAGCGGTTAGAGCATCACTCTGAGGTCCAGAGAGACCTGGGTTCAGCCCCCACTAGGGGCATGTACCTCGGTTGCAGTTTGTCCCCGTGTCCCTTTCATGTCAATGTTTCTCTCTCTCTCTTTTCCTCTCTCTCCTTCCCACTCTATGTGAACAAAAAATGGAAAAATGTCCTCGGGTGAGGACAAAATGAAGGCCATAACTAGAGGAAAAGAAGGCACTACATATTATTAAAAGGATCTATCCAAGAGGAAGATATAACCTTGGTAAACATATATGCACCCAATATAGGAGCACCAAAATGTATTAAAAATCTGGAGGACTTTAAAGGAGAAATCAACAGCAATACAATCATAGCAGGGGACTGACAGCACTCCGCTGACATCACTGGATAGATCCTCTAGACAAAAAATTAGCAAGGAAACAGAATCTAAATGAAGCACCAGACCAAATAGATTTAATAGATATCTACAGAGAATTACACCCCAAAACTACAGAATTCACATTCTTCTCAAGTGCACATGGGACATTCTCAAAGATAGACCACATGTTAGGACACAAAGCGATTCTCTACAAGTTCAAGAAGATTGAAATCATATCAAGCATCTTCTTAGATCACAATGGCATGAAACTAGAAATCAATTGCAACAAGAACATGCAAAGACATTGGAACACATGCTAAATAGCATGTTATTAAACAATGAGTGGGTTACCGAGGAGATCAAGGAAGAGATTGAAAACTTCTTGGAAACCAGTGAAAATGAACACACTACAATACAAAATCTATGGGATGCAGCGAAAGCAGTTCCGAGAGGGAAGTTCATAGCACTACAGGCCTACCTCAAGAAACAAGAAAAATGTCTAATAGACTATCTAACCTCACAACTTAAAGAACTAGAGAGCAAACAAAAAGAAAACCCCAGAGCAAGTAGAAGGAGGGAAATAGTAAAGATCAGAGCAGAAATAAATGACATAGAGACTAAATAAACAATTCAAAGGATCAATGAAACAGAGCTGATTTTTCAAAAAGATAAACAAGATTGATGGACCCTTAGCTAGACTCACCAAGAAACA